TAATCCATGTCATCGGAAATGCTGTTGGCATGGGCAAGTTGGAACCCACCAGTTGGTAACATCAGAAATTGGACCTTATTTTTAAAAATAAAGTTATCAAACTCGAGAGCATGTTTTGACTAACCATAAAAAAGAGAGCATGTTTTTTTTTATAAAACAACCACATTAAAGCTAAGCATGTAAGACGGTAACTGGGCGCGTGTCCAATTGGAGAAACGGAAATTGGCGCTTAGTAAGGAGTTATATTGGGACTTGACAACACTAGTCGCACCGTGTCTGGTGTCCAACGCTAGAAGAGAAGAGAGGAGAAGAGAAGAGACGAGAAGGGAGCAAAGAATCATCAAACAACGAAGCCAATGGGGTGGGCAATTGCTTTACACGGAGGTGCCGGCGACATCCCGCGCTCTCTGCCCCCCGAACGTCGCATACCCCGGGAGGCCGCCCTCCGCCACTGCCTCGATATTGGGGTTGTCGCCCTCAAAGCCAACAAACACCCATTGGACGTTGTTGAACTTGTGGTATGTCACTCTACATCTATATTGTTCTTCTCTGTACACATGTTCATCCTATGTCTGGGATTATGCCGATTCACTATAATTTTCATGTGACTAAACCAATCTTCATCAGCCCCTTGGAGCTTCGAGGGTAAACCCGGTTACAGTCACCGGACTCTCAACATCAACTGATGATTCTGTTGATGTGAAATTCTGAATTAGTGGGTTGGTAATCTGAGAGAAGTGCAAATTGTAATAAATTGTTTTTATCAATTTTCTGCTGTAATTTACTAATTTGGGTAGTCTACTTTAGAGGAATGGGTTATTTTTGTTTTAATCTTTTTCTGCAACTCTTTTGGTTGATGATGGTGTCGACATAGGGAATTATGAGTTCAAGATCCAACCTTTTTAAAGAAAGCAAAGGATATGCACGTCCGAGTGGAATATTTTATTCTGTATTATTATAACCATTTCATGTAATTTGTCTATGCAATTTATACTTGTATCTTTATCTCTGAGTGGGGAGGAGATCACATGTAGCTTTTATGTGGCTAAGATTTACTAAAATAGAAATTTTATGATATCATTTGAAGGGTACATGTTATGACTCATGACCATTTATATCTTGTGGTTGATTTAGTTGTTGTATTATAGCATAACATGCAGATGCACTAGCTTTTTAGAAGTCTATTTTAATCTACAACCAAATGGGTTCTTCGCCTTTTCCCTTTTGAACTTCGGCATCAATTTAAGAGATTTATGGTTTCTTTGGCTACATTCTCAAATCTCAATGCGACTGTTGATTTCTTTACTATTTGCTTAATTGAATTCATAAAGGTTTCTTCTTTATCCCAGAAAAACTGGGATAGCTTCTTTTGTTGTATGCAATATTGAAAAAGTTATAAGATGACAATGAAAATGATTGGATGATAGTGCTTGAGTTCTTGTTTTGTATTCAAATTAATGTTGATTCTACCATATATAGGTGCGTGAACTGGAAAACATTCCAAACTATAATGCGGGTAGGGGATCTGTCTTAACCACTGCAGGGACAGTTGAGATGGAGGCTTGTATCATGGATGGCAAGACAAAGAAATGTGGTGCTGTTTCTGGTCTTACAACTGTAGTTAACCCCATATCTCTGGCACGATTGGTCATGGAAAAGACTTCTCATATATATTTGGCATTTGATGGAGCAGAGGCTTTTGCAAGGGAACAAGTAAGCAACAAGCATTCTTTGCTCTCTGAGCACGCCTTTACTGCCCCCATACTTATACAGGCAAATCCCCTCTGTTCTGTTAGGATTAGTGACTCTCACAGGGGTTTGACCTCTTATTTTGCCAATACTAAGCAACTTCTGTGTCTAACTTAACAGGCTTGAGATGCCTCCAAATGCAAAAATAATGTTTTCCCTCTGTTTCTTCCCCTGCTGCCTGTCATTACATCACAAATCTATGAATTATTTGAACTTTGAATTGAATCTTGAATTTGTGTGATCCATCATTTTATTGTGTAAAACTAAAAATCTAGTTCTCATCACTGGGAATTAGCTAAATTGTTATCATCAACTTTTCTGTTTGTTTTAACAGTATCATTTGAATTTGGTTAGGGGGTTGAGACCGTTGATCCGAGCCATTTTATTACTCAAGAAAATATTGAAAGGCTTAATCAGGCAAAAGAAGCCAACAGAGTTCAGGTTTGTTTCTTGTAACAAGCGTCCATATGGATAGACATTTTCTGATTTTTATTTTTATTTTTATTTTATTTTTGGGGGGGTATATTGGAGATATAGCTGCTTGGCTCTGAAGTAGTTTGAACCCCTGAGTTTATCACAAATCAAGGTTTCTAAATTAGTGGGTACCAACTCGGCCAAGCTCTCGTTGGTATTTTCTGAATTTTAGTTTTGGCTGATCTTGCTAATTACATTGCATTTTTAATCGTGTTTTAATTGCATGCTAGCTTCTTGTTTTCTCCTGCTGTTACCAGAAATATCATTCAAAATTATATGTTGCTTTCTTAAAGCATAAAAGGAATTTCTTCAAGAATATATGAACATCAAGAACTAATACTTTTCATCTGCTTGAAATGTGCTATAGCATT